GAAGCGTGTGGTGATAACTCCGGATGGTGGCTTCAAAGCAATCCCGGAATGGCTGCTGGAAACCGACGGAACAGCATTGGCTAAGGTTTGTGTTATAAGCAGACTGTAGCAACCAGGTCGACCCTGAAAGCCTAAATGGCGAAGGTGCGATAGATTACAACATGAAAGAACAGTATGAGAAAAGGAGATAAGAGTGAGATAAGACGTAAATTGTGTTTTACAGCAACTAGCTGCAAAGCAACGTTCGCTTCAGAATTGTTGGAATTGCAGCACCATAGCTACTGCAGCACCATGCTGTTCGGATCGTTAGTACTGTGTTTATTTGCATGTCGCCTTTTTGGTGGTTGTCCCTGTTGAATGGCAGCAAAAGGACTAATATGCCTTACTCATCGAATTTTACTTTCTGGCTTGGTCACAGCAGTATTTGCTCCTTTTTTTTGTCGAAATAGATATTTTAGTTGAAAAAATTACGTTTGAGACATAGTGGAGGATAATCTCTACCTAAAATTTTGGAATTGTAAGCTGCCCATTCCACACAATCTTCACAATTTCGCATGTTTTTTTAAAGTAAATATTTTCTTTTGATGAAAAAATTAGCATTTTTTAGTGGGACCAGAGCATAAGATTTTGTGTAAATTACAGTTGAAGATGAAAAAAACCCTTCTTTTTTCTAGGTGCTAAGTGAGGAAAGTGTGGATCCGGTGAGGACAACATCAAACGATATTTGTGAAATATTCGAAGTACTGGGAATTGAAGCTGTCCGTAAGGCTATTGAACGTGAAATGAATCACGTGATTTCCTTCGACGGCTCATACGTGAACTACAGGCATCTGGCATTGCTGTGTGATGTGATGACAGCCAAAGGTGAATTTGTATATTTTTTTTTCTAAAAATCTTTGTACGGCTAAATTTTTTTCCTCGATTGAGTAGCGATAGGTTTCTGTGAAGAAGCTTGAATTAAATGAACAGTAGTGAGTTAAAGAATTTTTTGGTGAAGACGAAGAAAGATGGGGATAGTGACCGGATTACCAGGTGGTGCTACTGCTTCGGTCCTATCAGCTATAGTTGTTTTATAAATTTTTTGTTAAATTGCTGGCGGGGAAATGTGTTTCATCGAAAAAGCGAAAAATGATGCGTTAAGCAACATCAGAGCCTCAGTTTAAAGAATTTTTGATTGGAACTCTAATGCTGAAAATCAGAGCTTTTACGGTTGTGGGCTTTTTA